ACTTATGCAACAGAGTTGCTTACGAAGATGCGGCGAACAGGAGATTTTTTGCCGGAACAACAGGTGCAAAGATTGTACACAAACATGGCTCCAGATTTTAAATTTTACATCCGCTGGGGGAGCTTCTGGATCGTGGGCGAATTAACAGCGTTGGTCGCCGAGTTTGAAGACTTGGAGGAACAACGGAAGGAATTTCGCAGACCGCCCGTTGCAACCGTGGCTTCTGTATACAATCGACCAAAATGCTGCTGGCGCTGCAAGCAGCGAGGGCACACGAGACAGCAGTGCCAAAAACCAGCAAAGAAATTTTGCTCACAGTACGGCAAGGACGGAGTGCTCACAAAAGAATGCTATCCGTTTCCGGGAAACGCCGCGGGTACCGGGGGAAGCATCGCGACGAACCAGTCCGCACAGTAAATATAAAGTTTAAACCGCGGCCATATATTAATGTAAATCTGCACGGATAAGAAATTGAGGCGCTGTTAGACACAGGCGCAGACTTATCGTTCATCAACAAGAAATCCGCTGGTTTGGTACAAAGTCTTGGATACAAGGTGAAAAAGATCGAGACGTAAATAAACCTAGCAGACGGGAATCGGTCAAATGTTGACGAAGCATATTGCCTCAGGATAGAAATCGCGGGTAAAAAATACAAGCAATGTTTTCTAATTATGCCAAATTTACCGACGCCTATGCAAATAAGCGTAGATCTATGGCAGAAGATGCGATTTCCGATACTACCGGCAGAACAGACCAAGCCACGGAAAAAAACCTCACCAACATGCTCCCTGACACAAGGGCTCACACCGTTATCAAACGGAAAAAGGGAACACCTGGAAGCGTTTTTATCCAGCGAATTTCAAAAATTCGCCGAAGTAAAGGGGCCGACCGATATCTTGCAACACCATATACGCGTAAAATTCGATACACTGATAAAGCAACAATATCAGCCACGAAATCCGTCACTGCAAGCCATCATTGACATTGAAGTAGACAAAATGTTGAAGGAAGGGTTGATAGAACCGTCGCGCAGCGCATGGAGCACGCCGGTTGTAATTGTCAAGAAAAAGAACGGAGAACACCGTTTTTGTATTGACTTCCGTAAAGTCAACAAGGTGACGGAAAGAGACGCGTATCCGTTGCCTCATATTTCAGCTACGCTCAATAAGTTGAGGGGCGCTCATTACCTCTCAACGATAGATTTTAAGAGTAGATACTAGCAGGTACCACTAACACCACAGACCCGAGCGATCACGGCATTTACAGTGCCGGGACGAAGACTCATGCAGTTTTGAGTGATGCCGTTCGGCTTGCACTCAGCACCCGCCACGTTCCAGCGACTGCTGGACACGGTACTCGGACCGGATCTAGAACCACACGTACTCGTTTACTTGGACGACATCATCGTCACAAGTAAAACATTCGACGAGCACATTGATCTACTGATAGAAGTGTTCCGTCGTCTTCGAAGAGCAAAGCTCAGGCCAAATCCAGAGAAATGCCTATTTGGTCGCCAGGAATTTAAATACCTCGGCCATGTAATAAATCAGAAAGGCATCTACACGAATCCAGAAAAAATTGAAGCAATCGCTCAATGGCCGACTCCAACAACACTCAAAAAAGTTTGTCAATTCCTGGGAGTCGCGACGTGGTATCGACGCTTCATTAAAGATTTTGCGGCAACTGCGGTACCACTAACAAAGCTTACAAAAAAGAATGTAAGATGGCAGTAGGGGGAGGAACAAGAAAACGCATTCCAGAAGCTAAAAACTAACCTCACGTCAGCACCAGTACTGGCATGCCCAGATTTTACTCGTCGGTTCTTTCTGCAAACAGACTCTAGTAAACATGAACTTAGAGCAGTCCTTACACAGAATGCTGCAGATGGCGAACGAGTAATCGCGTACGCCAGCAGAACATTTAATGGCGCAGAGAGGAATTACAGTGCCACAGAACTGGAATGCCTTGCTGTCGTCTGGGGCATACGACGGATGCGCATGTACCTCAAAGGATATGATTTTACAGTGATAACAGACCATCAATCATTAAAATGGCTGCAACGTCTGGAAGAGCCGACAGGTCGATTGGCAAGATGGCTGTTCGAGTTACATCAATGTACCTTTAGTCCGGTTCCATAATAAACCAATCGCGGGACACCTTGGTGTTGCAAAAACGATCGCACGAATAGCACAACTTTACTACTGGCCGGGTATGTTTAAAGATATGAGGTACGTACGAACGTGCGAAATTTGTTTACAGCATAAGATTCCACCAACAAAACCGGCAGGAAAGCTGCACACGGAACCGGTTAACGCACCGTGGCAACAAGCGACGATTGATCTGATCGGTCCGCTACCAAGGTCAAGCCAAGGATGCATCTGTCTGTTCGTCATGCAGGACCACTTCACAAAATGGGTAGATTTAAAGGCACTCCGAAGAGCCACCGAGTCAGCAGTTACTACGGCTCTGTATGAGCAAATCGTGCTTCGGCACGGTTGCCCAGAGGAAATAATTTCTGACAATGGAACGCAACTAAAATCAAAACAAATGTCCGAATTGTTGCAAAGCCTGGGCATCCGCCACCGCTTTACACCCGCCAGAACGCCGCAATGTAATCCGGTAGAAAGAACAAACCGGTCGATTAAAACAATGGTGGTTCACTTCGTGTCCCGCAGTCAAAAACGCTGGGACGAGAAAATACCGGCGCTGCAATTTGCGTACAATACCGCACGGCACAAAGCGACAGGATACTTACCGGCGTATTTAAATCACGGCCAGGAATTCGCCCGACCAAACACCGAGGATCGACCGCAGCGAAGAACCACCGTTAAGCCACACGAACTTCAAAAACGCCAGGAAGACGCATTTGAATTGGTGAAAATCCATTTTGCCAGAGCCTTCCAGCGGTAAGCACGACATTATGATCTTCGCCGGCGAAACTGGAGACCAGAGATTGGAGAGCAAGTATGGAAGCGTGTATATCCGCTCTTAAACAAAGCGGAAGGATTCAATGCAAAACTTGCACCACGCTACATTGGGCCGCTCATAGTTAGGCGTTATATTTCGCCTGTAATCGCCGACTTACAAGATAAACAAAACAAGTGGCACCGGCATGTTCACGTGCAGGATTTAAAGAGACTGCTATCAGATTTCGACAATAACAACAACAGCGAGGACAGTGAACTCGAGGCCGACGCAACAGAAAACAAAACAGCGCACGTTTCCAAAATACAAGTCACCAGGGAAAGTCACCCCGGTGAAAACAATCGCGCAGGTATAAAAGACGGCCCACGCAGAATACAAGTATCATTTAAAAAAATGAACGCCGAGCAAGCGCTGGAAAGAAATTACTCCGAAGTGAGAGACGAATCTCTCAAAATTTTATTCAAAAGCATAGGCCGCCTGATGCAGGAAGCACCGCTACCTCCGGACCCGCAACCGAGAAAAAATCGTCGACAGATCCGGGAGCTTTTCGACGACTGCGATCTCGATGAAGAGCTGGAGAAACCGACGAAGGAGAAGGCCAGGAAGTAGCTCCAGGAAAAGGCGAGAAAATTCCGGACACTAACGGCGCCGGATATCAACCGGCACCGACCACCGGCAGGTGCCGACGAATACGGCCATATCAAGCACAGCCGTATCCATCGCTACTACAAACTCGGCCAAGATCGACGCCGCTCCTGCGTCATTGCAATAGTAATCCTGCTCAGTCTAAAAGAGGAACCGCAGGTTCGGACATTTGATTCACGCATTCGGTCGAGCGGCCGGTGGTGCAAAGTTACCATCCGTGGGATTATGCCTGAACGTCTCTAAGACCGTATCCTCTCTAGTCAAAGGTGGCAATGATATCTCTAGGAGTCTTGTGAGTCGAAAGGCTCAAAACAATGTGATACTACTAGGCGGCGGGACTTTTTCCCTGTCGTCGCACAAGCCCGGTTTGCCGTGCGGCGCTTACGCGCCCGCGTGTTCGGGATCTCACCGAGCGCGGCGTTNCGTCGTGGTTATAGCGGTCGATCATGGGTATCGCAAGTTTGATGTCGAGACTCGGAATTGTCTGTAGACGACTTAGGTACCTGGCGGGGTGTTGTAGTAGGGTGTTATGTGTTCGTCTTTTTTGAGATCGAAAATAAACCTGAGACTAGAGTTAAAGGCGCGCTGAAGCCGAAGTTCAGCAGTCGGGCGGGTTCCGTTTGACCACAGTACGATTCGACACCGCTCGATTCGACACAGATTTATTCGACACCAAATTATTCGACACCGTACGATT